CTTCATATGAAGAATACCTCCCGATCTTCATATGAAGAAGACCTCCAGCTATTCATAAGAAGAAGACCTCCAGCTCTTCATATGAAGAAGACCTCCAGCTCTACATATAAGAAGACCAGCAGCTCTCCATATGAAGAAGACCACCAGCTCTTCATATGAAGATCTCCAGATCTTCATATGAAGAAGACCTGCAGCTATTCATATGAAGAAGACCTCCAGTTCTTCATATGAAGAAGACCTCCAGCTCTTCATATGAAGAAGACCTCCAGCTCTTCATATGAAAAAGACCTCCAGCTCTTCATATGAAGAAGACCTCCAGCTCTTCATATGAAGAAGACCTCCAGCTCTTCATATGAAGAAGACATTCAGCCTCTTCTATGAAGAAGACATTCGGCCTCTTCTATGAAGAAGACCTTCAGCCTGTTCTATGAACAAGACCTTCAGCCTCTTCTATGAAGAAGACCTTCAGCCTTTCTATGAAGAAGACCTTCAGCCTCCTTTATGAAAAAGACCTTCAGCCTCTTCTATGAAGAAGACCTTCAGCCTCTTCTATGAAGAATACCTTCAGCCTCTTCTATGAAGAAGACCTTCAGCCTCTTCTATGAAGAAGACCTTCAGCCTCTTCTATGAAGAAGACCTTCAGCCTCTTCTATGAAGAATACCTTCAGCCTCTTCTATGAAGAATATCTCCAGCTCTTCTATGAAGAGCAAGAGCTCTAGCTCTTCTATGAAGAGCAGACCTCCAGCTCTTCTATGAAGAGCAAGACCTCCAGCTCTTCTATGAAGAAGACCTCCAGCTCTTCTATGAAGAGCAAGACCTCCAGCTCTTCTATGAAGAGCAAGACCTCCAGCTCTTCTATGACGAGCAAGACCTCCAGCTCTTCTATGAAGAAGAAGACCTCCAGTATCTATATGAAGAATATCTCCAGCTCCTCTATAGAGCTGGAGGTCTTCTATGGAAATACCTTCCTTTGGCCTGACCTTTCTCCGCTAGACTTACGTGCGTATTTATTAAATGTAGACCTAACATAATCAATTATGCCGGAAAATTTGATTAATTAAAGTTCTTAAAAGCTGACACTCATCAATTAAACAATAAAGCAATAAAATTCCGACAAATTAATCATATTAGGTTAGGCATATGGAAAATAAAACGGCGCCCAAACTAAAAATAAAAAATCATGAATGTCAAATTTTATGGGTAACGTCAGATGGGCGAACCCATAATGTATTGTGTCTGGCATTTGTAGTCTGTTGAGCTGTTGGCCTCTCTGTCTAAGCATTCATAATTGTGTCTGAGGCAATAAGTCAAACACCATCAACACACATCCTAACCAACACACTTGACACGGAACGCAACAGCACACAAAGAATCACACATGAAAAGAATTCACTATGCCAAAGGAATCAGAAGCCGCCTTAGCAAGGATTTGGTGTTTAAGGAACAAAAAGCTGTGGCTGAAAGAGAGCTGAAGCGCAAAAAGAGCAAACTCACAAATAAACATGCTAGCTAATGGTGTTGGTGTGCAAGTGAGCGTGAGTGTGTGTGTGTGTGTGTGAGCAAACGTTTTCTAGGAAAAATAAACAAATCAAAAGGACAAAGCACCAAAAGCAAATAACTGCAGGAAAAACAAAATACAGCAACAACGAGAACGCACACAAGCTAGTCACACAATGAATCACTGAACTTTAACTCCCACACATTCGCACACAAAAACTCAACACCATTGACATGGGCCCAAAGGATGTGAGAAAAAAGAAATGGGAAAATCCAAAGACCTTTACCGGGGTTAAGGATGACTGACAAAGGTTAGCAAACAAAATTCTCATACTCATGGGCCGACACCAGTTCATTCACACACAAATACACACACACACCCGAACAAAGGCACTCACAACCCAACCTAAGGTAATCGCAAGAGCTGACAAAAGCTCATATATCCTGGCACACTAAAGTATTAAACAATAAATAATGTAAAGCAATAAGCGATAGTAAAGCAGACAGTCAAGGCGACAAAACTAATGCTTCAACATGTCAACAGGAACTATGCTTATTGTAGATGTTGTTTTTGTTCGTCCTGGCGGACAAAAGTTAAACATGGGCGTGTTACAATGCCGTTCGTTGTTTAGTTGATAGGTGACTGATTTAAAAGGAGTTTAGATTTATGGGTTTGGCGAAGAATTAAAAAAAAACATGTTTTTGTTTTCAATTCTCTGGGACGTGAAATTTTTAAAGATGCTGAATCTTCAGGATATTGAATATTGCTCCTGTACATAATTTTCCAGTTGTAACTGTAACTGTAACAGCATAATTTCCTATTCCAAAATAGAAAAGTTGTACACGGGAATACATACGTGGTCCAGAGCAGTTGCCAGTTTATGAATGAAACTTTGGACATTTTGATTGATATCAAATATATTGGTATTTGTGGTCGGGTATAGCAGATATAGGACAGGACATTTTGTCACTCAGATAATTAACGGCCAGTGGTGCTTGTGTAAGTGTCTAATTTTCAACGTCGTTCTTTTTATACCCTTCACCACACTGTGGTACAAAAGGCAAAACACCTTTTGAAACAAAAAAAAATATCTGGATGTTTGTTATCATGGTTATCGACTGTTTTCATGTTTAAAGTCCTTAACTTATAATTTTATACCCTTCACCACAAATTGTTTTTAGTTGGTTATCATCATGAAGCATTTAAATAATGTTTGTAACAGCCAAAAGGAACTTTTTACTCAAAAACCGGTTCCTTTTGAAACTGGTAAAACTAGAATCAAATTTCTGAGAATTTATAAATGGCCTCTCTTAAAATGTCCCCCGGAGTGCCAAATTCTGATTGGGTATTGTGTTGATTTTGCTAAAATCATCTAATTTGGGTATAGCTCTACTTATATTTTCATCCGAATTTTAGAAAATTTTGTACTCCGAGAGCGATTTTTAAATGTTTCTTTTTACGATTTACCATTAAAAATTTGGCGGAGGTGAGTTTAGTGTGAGTGTAGTTAAAAGTGGACTAATCGGTTTAAATTTTGTTATATCTATGGGTATATATTTTGACATTTTATATAAATTCTGTAATATTTTTGTGTACATCTTTGTTACGATATAAAATATTGAAATTATGGTCAGCGCAGTGTGCTGCAGTATTGTCCAAATGATATATTCCAAGGTTGCTCAATTAGGTTCCAGATTTATATATAGCTCTACTGCAAATTTTCATATAAATCATTAATTGCAAAAAATATATGTTAGGGTGACATGCAATCTTTCAAATATTCTGTCATTATTTTCCACACTCATGATTTTCAGTGATACATACGTTTAAAAAATTGCATTATTTTACTTCCAAAACCCGGAATTACAAAATTTATCCATATCAAACCGAAAATGCGAAAATTCACAACATTGAATTTTAAGGCAAAAATAATACGAAATGCCAAATTACTGCCGAATCGTATAGGTTATTGTTTATATATCCCACACAACTATGTTGTAAGGGTATTATAGATTTGTATGATCCCAAGAGTTTGTAACGCTGCGGTATTCCGATCGCCATATCTCGACTAGCTAACTCGATCTAGACATTGTGTCCGTATGTCCATTATAATTAGTAAACACGATACAGGCCACAGTTATGAACCAATCGTCACGAAAATCTGGCCAAAAGAGATTGGTTAATATTTAGGGGATGAAATGGACCAAACACTTTTTTGAGTTTTTAAGTTTGATGTTATTTTAGGGCGAAGGATCATTCATGTAAAAGTTTTTATTAAATTCTCTTTCGAGATGAGCTACATGATCGAAGTTGCAATGAAGAGGAAATCCAGAGAGATACTACATTCCCACCATTACAACGCGTTTCGCCGTTGGTTTATCAGGCATATTGGGCAATGTGGCTTACAAATGTCGTTACTTGATATGTTGTATTTATGTCGAATATTGTTGCGAAATTGCATATACGCAATAAATTCAACCATGTCAAGGTTCGGACATTTGACATCACACCAGAACATTCTTTTTCAGATCAGATTTTTCTTGTAGTGACGGACTTTTTTCCATACAGACTAGAACATTTTTTTCTTCAATGGTATACAACTGCATATTGTGCAACCTTAGGAAGATAAGGCGGTGGCTTTGAACGCTAAGGCACCGGACAACAATCAACAGATTCCATGGGAACCAGGGTTCAAATCCCATCCGGGCTCAAGCTGAATTTTTGAGTTATGGAGTTTTTAGAACGAAGGATCATTCATGTAAATGTTTTTATTAATTTCTCTTTCGAGATGAGCTACATGATCGAAGTTGCAATGAAAAGGAAAGCCAGAGAGATACTGCATTCCCAAAGCTTTTTGTCTGTATTTCTGGTCTGTTTACAGGTCAATATTTAGCGGGTAAAATGGATCCTAACTTTTGTGTCAAAAATGACAACATTTGCATTTTATGACATATATATTTAGTCCTGAAGAACGTACATAGGAGAAATGGTCTGTATTTCCAAGAGGAGTGGTAGACATTAAAATTGATATGAATTATAGTGTTGTATGTACATGGATATGGGAGTTATGCGTAAACATTTAAGGGGATCTATGTATTCTGGTATTGATTGGTATTGCTATTACCACACAAGTGGGCGTAAATATCGCATTGATTGGTTTGAAATTTTACATGCTATTCCGGTTTTGCTCAAGAACAACAGCTATATTTTTTGGTTATGATCAGATGATATTTAGGGGATAAACATTGCCCAGGCTCGGAATATAGATCCACAAAATATAGAGTTCCGTGGTAGTTTTGTATAGTATTATCTTTCCAATATCTCTCAATATTGTAGAAAAATGTAGTTCATACGAATTTATGTCATTTTAATACAGTTGTTGGTCTATAGTTTTATTTTTTTAACAAAACAAGTACAATATTCTTCTTGTCAGCATTTCTTTTCTCCACCAATCATTCACTCCCTAATTGATTTTTTCACTTGTTCATCCACTTTACTCACCTGTTGCTTTGTTATATAAATTGGTTTATTTTGGACAATCCATGTCACCGTTTCATGACAGGCAGGTGCTGTTGTCGAACCATCATATGTCATATAATGATCCGTTTCCGGCAGTAGGCCACGTATTGACAGGCGTTTAACAAATGCCTCATCGCCGCCATAACGTATGCGATCCAATTGATCTGTCAGCATACGCAGTTCGGGATTTGATAAATCACCCAGCTGAAATGGAGAAAAAGTGTAAATGAAATAAATAACAGGAAGAAATGAAATACATGAGAAAGAAAAAAACAAAAATCATTGACCAATGTTTTTTATGGCTTACCTGTAACAGTATGGAGACACCAACAATGCCTTGAGCTCGATTTAATGCCTCCGAAAAGTTGTTGTACAATTGTGAATTATAACCAAAAATTTGTATCTGCAATGAAGGAAAGTAAAGAACATGAGAATGAAGAAAAGTAAAGAACATATGAAAAACATATTCGATATACATATTTATATGTAATAAATATAGATATGTAATAATATACATATGTATAATGGGATTTACATGACATCGACACAGGCTACAACATAATGAAAACAAACAACAAAAAATCGATTTTATTTCCAAACTTGAAATCCAATGTTGCAAATGAAATAATCCCTTTTGCATTTGCATTCTGTCCATCTTCAGTTCGAACTTATGCTTTCTTTCCTTATGCATACATACATATTTTGGTATGTATTTTGGGTTTAAAAAAAAAAACTGTTGAAATATTTGTACTTTCTGTTACTGCATAATACATTTTAATTTATATTGACATTATACTGAAAGATGTATTAAAAACAAATTATTTTTAAGGACAATGTTAAGGTTGTCGGCTAAAGGGATTTCCATATATATATACTGCATACATACATATGTATGGACATTATTATATTCGATTTAAGTGTCATGTTGTGTAATCTCGTTAATATTTAAAAAATTCTACTTTCTTTACAGAACAGACGACTCCACATAATTGGAACATAGGTAAGTTAAAATGGTGGTTAAAGTATTAAAAAAATTTAATTTGCCTTACAGTAGTTTGAAGGGAATTTAAATTTATCTTATTCGATTTTAGCTGCCTGAATGTTAGATGTCATTATTAAAGCTATAAATATTCTGGTTTGTGCGGGTTTTTGAAACCAAAACATATACAAATGTTATTATATATTTTCAGCCTAATAGTTACATGTAAAAACTTTGTTATGTTCTGCCGGTCTGAACTAAAGGGGGACTACTTTATTGCAATTTTTGTCCAAGTCAAATTTATATCCTCTGAGAAAGTATAAAATTTTAGACACTCAGGCAGGAAACCATACCGAAAATTAAATTAAACCGTTGTATGAGTGTTACGTAAAAAAATAATATTTATTTTTCATTTTCCATATTTAAGCCATTTCGTTTGTAAAATTGCGCGGGACCAGTATTTGGAGACTATGCCGAAACATAGAGCCATATCGAAAATATTATGTAAGATTTTTGGCACCATCTGGAATAAGAATTTGTATATATATGTCAGCCTTGAAGAACTAGATGAAAGAACATTGGAAATTCTGAAAAGTTGCTGTACAATTATATGCGGACATGTCTATAACTACCGAACAACCTATCTTGAATATTGCGATGCCTATTATCATTTTAACAAAAATATGAACATGGCTAAATACACATAGAATTTTATTGAGGTCTTCGACGAATATTTCGAGTAGTTGTAAATACAATGACACCTATAAGAGACACTTCACCTTATGGCTGAGGATTTACAAGTGTTAATATTTACCACCACAGTATTCCCCATTATAATGTACCCATTTTTCAGACAGGATGAAATATCTTGGAATCATCCTGCACGAAAGGTTCGACTTCTGTCGCCATGTGGATTATGTGCTTTCAAAGGCCAAAAAGATGAACTTTGCCTATAAAAGACCCCTTCGGAGGTAAAGTTACTAATATACAAGCAAGTGATTCGTCCCATCATCACCTACTCCTTTGCAGCATGGGCAGATATATCGTCTGCCCAGATGGAAAGGATTAGAATGTGGGAGAGAAATATATTGGCATCATGCGTAGGAATGAGACCAACACTGGATAACAATGCAATCGACTTCAACCGAATCGATGTCTGCATGATAAAATATGCCCTCAACTTCTTGGAAAGGATTCAGCTTGTGGAAAATGGAATTGTGGAGCTATACCTGGAGTGCAACGAGGAACTCCACTCCATACTTAGAAGGAAACACCTCCCTCCTGCAGCCTTGCTGAAGCTGCGAGACGGAGGAATCCTTTACGACGAAGAAGGCCGTCTTATGTACTATCATCGGAGGTATCATAGATTTGACGCCGATATTGAGCCTGTATATAGCACAGCTAAATAAAAAGAAATTGTATATAAATTTATTTTTAAGATAGTTTTAAGTTAATTTAAGTTTGGCCTATTTTTTAAGTTTTTAAGGCACGTAAAGTTTGAAGAGTATGTATAAGTACTAGTTTGTTTAAAAAACTCGCCTAGCATTCCAAATGCGGCGCTAGATATAAAATAGTCGTAGTCTCCTTCATTGTAAGCCATATGGCATAGGAGAAATAGATTTTAAGTTTAATTTTATACTGTAGCCATTAAGTATACTGTACTATGAAATAATTCTCTAAATAAATGGCAATTATCAAATCAAAATCAATGTACCCATTTTTTACTCACATTGCCACGGTGTACAAAGATCGGTTTATTTTCACCGTTTTTCGAATTTTTCCGAAGACTTGAAGCGATCCAATTGTGGTGTACCACTTGATTTGTTTGGACCGGACAAATTTAGTTGGATTTCACGTGTCCTCGAACATCTCGAGGGACAGAATTATTTTTTTTAAAGATTCTTAAAATGTTTGAGATCCAACGATAATAAAACTTTTTTTACGGTCAGATGGCGGAATTTTACCTACTATAATATATCAATATCATCAATAGTCAACATATAATGGGTTCCTTAATTTTCGTTATATTGAGGATTTCAAGTAGTAGATTTATTCAAGTTGTTAGATTTATTCACTTTTTCGTAGGGTGACAAATCTTCTTGCTAAAACTAATACATAGGTCTATCGGTGTCGATGGTTATTGCCACCATATATAGATAAAGCTCCTTTATTAGTAAAGAAGATATATATTCTTTGGCTATTGAAGGTATATACACTTTGCTACGGCATAAAATATGCCTCGTCGAAATATTGGCTTTAGATAGCCAAAAAATAATTGAAAAACGGTATAAAAAACTTGACCAAAATATCAAAATGAAGAGCAATTTATCCCATTTTCTATACCAACTATCTTACTATCATAAATATTGTGAGCTCTATCAACATATGGACGAGTAGACAGAAGGCAAAACATAAGATTCTTATATCAGGAGTCCTTATGCGATTTTTTGTCCCTATTTTCATTTTCTAAATACCACAATACGAAATTTTTTCGACCTCCAACAAAAAATTCGATCAATAGATTTTAAATAAACAAGAATTCGCTATTCGCCTGTTTTCATTTTAATTTTTCCCTTTTTACAAAATAGATTCTCCACAGACAATTCAAAGACTAGCCCTATTGAAATCCATCTATATTAAATCGTTTCAGATTAAGAAAATAATATTCTTTCCCGATTTCCTATTTTACAAAATAGATTCTCCCCAGGCAATTCAAAGACTAGCCCTTTTGAAATCCATCCATATTAAATCATTTCAGATTAAGAAAATAATATTCTTTCCCGATTTCAGACTGAACTCATGTTCGATTGACACCAAATTGCGCAGTAGGCCAACTAGAGTCTATAAGGATGTGTTTATACCCTTCACCACACTGTGTAGTACAGGGCATTATGTCTTTGTGCATATGTCTGTAACAGGAAACGAGATACACACATGGTTTCTTTTGAGAATATGGATAGAATGATTTTCTGAGTTCATTTATTCATGTCCGTCCTTCCGTACAGGTCGGATTCATGATCCGATATGGATGAAATTTGGCACATGTTACATATTTGCCCCTAGGTCGAACCCTAAAAGAAATTTAAATTATATATAGCTCCCATGTATTTTCGTCCGATCTTATGTAAGTGGTGCACCAAACTCCCAATATTTGTCCAATTGAGGCAAAATTTTGACAGATTACTGACTTAGGTCTAGATTGAAATATGCTAAGTTTTATTGAAATGATTCAAAATTTCTCTCAGAGTACAGAATTAGGTGCATATTGATGTATGCGAAGTTTTGTTTGAATCGGTTTTGATGTAGATATATCTCCCATATATAATTTTTCCTATTTTATGTACATGGTGCACCAAACTCCCAATATTGGTCCGATTGAGACAAATTTTTACAGAGAATTAGATCCAAATTGATGTATGCGATGTTTTTTGGAATCGGTTCGGATTTAGATATAGCTCCCATATATAGTTTCGTCCGATTTTATGTAAATGGAGCACGGTATTGAAGTTACTACAGCTTGACATCGGTGAAGTTTTGTTGAAATCGGTTCAGATAGATATAGCACTGTAGGTTCTATGTTTGTTCTATATTAACGAAATTTAGTAGCGGGTATGTAACTAAGTCTAGAATGCTTTGGTTAATGTTTAAATCGGTTCAGATTTAAATATAGCTCACATATATACTGTAGTCCCATTTTATGTAAATGGTGCACCATAGATCCTGTTATATTTGCACTATATTTTGTTGTTGAAATTAGTTTAGATGTAGATATAGCTCCCTCATATATTTTTGTCCGATTTTATGCAAATGGAGGAGCCTATGTCTGTTCGGTTTACATGAAATTATGCATAGCGTATTGAATTGAAGACGTTTCAGGTTTCGATATAGCTTCCACATATATATGCATCCGATTTCATCAAAATAATGTACGAAGTAACTAAAGTTTGTCTGCTTAGGACGAATTAGTGCACAATCGAGATAAATTTTGGATAGCACACAATATTGCAGCATACAAAATGCTGGATGCCACGATTACGTCCATTTATATATATCGATCTTATACATATTTTGCTCGATGATTTACATTCAATTTTTCAGATTGGTATGAGTATGGGTTGTTTTAATTTAGTTCAAATATCTATGTACTTCTTCACACAGTTAATTTCATCCGATTCAATTTCAATGGTCCTCCAAAGATGCTGTGTCTGTTTTATCTCTTGTATGTACCCGTACTGGTTTAGTTTCTCATTTCCGCATTGTTTGTATTACCAATATGCGGTATATTGGTCACTTTTTCAACTGAATTAATGTTTTGGGTTCTTATTGTTTAATAAATCCTAATTGTATTGCGATACTTCCTAAATACCTGCATTTCAGGGCGTTTGGGAAAATTGGCTTTAATTTAATATTTTAGGCACCCGTTG